TAGTCATCTACCAAGACAAATGCATATTGTTTTCCACCCAAGCTAGTAGTTCTAGTTGGCCCAAAAAGATCTAAATGGATCAATTGTAATACTCTACTAGTTGATACATCATTAATAGATTTAAAAGAAACTCGTTTTTGTTTTCCTTTAGCACAAGCATCACAGATTTTATCATTATCAAATTTAAGCTTAGGCAACCCTCTTACTAAGTCTTCTTGAATTAACCGTTGCAAAACACTCATACTAGCATGACCTAGTCTCCTATGCCATAACCAACTATCATGCTCATCCTTAGCAACTAGGCATAAATTAGTCATATCAATAGAATCTAAATGCACCATGTAAATGTTTCCTATTCTATGACCAACAAGCATAATCTGATTAGATGCAATGTCAATGACTTTACAACCATTAATTTCAAATAAGACATTGAATCCTTTATCGCATAATTGACTAATACTCAATAGATTATGCTTTAATCCATTTACATATAAAACATTCTTAATTTGTATGGAAGATGTATTACATATTGTACCAATACCTTCAATGTGACCTTTTGAATTGTCTCCAAAAGTCACTTCTCCTCCATTTTTGGCGTTAAGCTCAATGAACCGGCTTTTGTCTCCGGTCATATGTCTTGAGCATCCACTATCAAGGTACCATGAATTTGAATTTGTTTCCCGTGCCTTGTAGCAATGCTCCTTTCCCTACAAACATAGATTAATTTTTGATTTTTGGTACCCAAATTCTTTTGGGTCCATATTCATTAGTTTCCAAAATCCTAGTCCCCTTAGGTATCCATTTGTGTAGGATATTTTTATCTTTAGTAGTAATGAGTTCTTTAGGAACCCACATACTTCTAATGATTTTTCCATTAGAGGTTCTTTGGGGACCTCTATGATTGTAGTTTCTAAAACTTTTTCTAACAAAGTTGGATTTTGAATTTCCACCTTTTTCAAAATGTTTTGTTCCAACTTTATCAAAAGAAGTTTTAAGATCATCAATTTTCTTTTGATGATCATCATTGATCTTTGAAAGTAAATTTTGCAAATCTACATTTTTCTTTTCAAACTCTTCTAGTTTGATTTGCAAATCTTTGATTTTACTTTCAAGATCGTTGTTGGTTTTGGATATGAGTTTGTTTTCATTTTTCAATTTTGAAACATCATTTTTATATTTTAAAAACAATTTCTCATAATCCGAAGCCAACCCATTGTATTCCTCAAATAACTCATCATAAGATAAATCATCAAAATCGGATGAGTTAGAGGTTACCTTAGAATCTTCCCCGAATGCCATCAAGCACAAGTTTGCTACTTCTTGTTCCTCTTCATCGGAAATTTCTTCATCGCTCCATGTAGCCACATGAGCCTTATGTTTATTCTTTGATTGACCCTTTTTCTTCAATTGTGGGCAATCATATTTGACATGTCCCGGCTTTTTGCATTCATAGCAAATGATTGGGTCCTTATCTTTTGGTTCATTTTTGAGGCCTTCGTTTCGTTTGAATTTTCTTCCTTGGTAAGGTCTCATCATTTTTCTGAACCGTTTGGCAAACAATGCCATTTCCTCGTCATCATCATCATTATTAGAATCACTCTCATCTTTTGTGGATTTGAGAGCAACTCCAATATTTTTCTTCTTCTCCTTTTCCTTTGGTGTCTCTTCAACTTTATCAAGGTCCACCTCATCTTCGAGCATCATCTCATGAGTAAGGAGTGAACCGATAAGTTCTTCAAGAGTTAAGGACGATAGGTCCTTAGACTCGATGATTGCCGTCTTCTTTGATTGCCATGATTTTGGGAGGGAGTAAACTAACTTCCTCACAAGCTTTTCATTTGAGATGATCTCTCCATATGATTTGAGACCATTGACAATCGTTGAAAATCTATCCGTCATAGCTTTGATGTCTTCATTTGGTTTCATCCTGAAATTTTCATAGCTATGCGTTAGAATACTAATTTTTGATTTCTTTACCTCATCTGTACCTTCATGTGTGACTTGAAGTTTGTCCCATATTTCTTTGGCGGTTGTACACGATGAAACTCTTCCGTATTCATCTGGTCCAAGAGCACAAAAAATAATATGGATGGCTTTGGAGTTGAGCTGGAACATTCTTGTCTCTCCTTCACTCCACAACCTTGGATGAGTGAGAGGTTTGATGTATCCTTCTTCTACAGCATTCCATGCTCCCATGTCACTTGCTTGAATGAAGTACATCATTCTATTCTTCCAATAGGCATAGTTAGCTCCATTGAAGAAAGGAGGCTTGTTGACGGGCATCGAATCGAGACCGGAGTCGAAGTTTGAAGCGGAGGCCATTGATGACTTTAATAATCGATATAACTCTTCCCGAATCGACTCAAGAGGCGATAAAACCTTCAAATGAGTTAGGCTCTGATACCAATTGTTGAGTTAATCGATTGACGAAATCGGCCAAGAGGGGGGTGAATTGGCAATTAAAATTTTTGTGGAAGTTTTTGCAGAAAATTGAAAGTAATTGCACAGCGATTTACAGTGGTTCGACTTTCTCAAATAAAGTCTACGTCCACTACCTTAGATATCCACACTAAGGATTTTCTAACAAATTCACTAATTTGTTCTTTCTTTTGAGGCCAAAGAGATAACCTTACAATACCCTCAAGAGTATACCCCAACTCTTGAGAACACTCTTTTTCCCAAAGAGAAGATTACAAATTTGCAAACTTACAAGAAAACCTCACAAGGTAAGATGTTTGCACAATTCTAGAACAAAGAAAAAGAACACTCAAAGATGAATACAATTGAGCACAAAAAGTGTTCTTGAAAGCAAAATGAATATTGAATGAAAATAGGCTTGAAATGCTCAAACTTGAGGTTTGATGCTTTCTCTTTAATTCTCTCTTGATTCTAGTTGCTTGATGTTTCTTGTTTTTGATCAATGGCTTCTAAGCTTGCTTAAATACACCTTGGATTACTTCTGAACGTTGGGGGATGATTAGAGAAGAAATTATAGCCGTTTTAGTGTGAAAACATTTAATAAAACAGCTTGGAGCGTGGGGGGAATCGGTTCCCCCTTGAAGGGAATCGGTTCCTAAGTGTAAAATTCAAATATTTCGACCGTTGTACAAGGGGGGAATCGGTACCCCTTTGGGGGGGATCGGTTCCCTCCGAGCATACTGGAATTCTCGGAACAAAACTGTTTAGGGGGGAATCGGTTCCTCCTATGGGGGAATCGGTTCCCTCCGAGCATTCTGGAAATCTCGGAGCCAAACCATTCAGGGGGGAATTGGTTCCTCCTATGGGGGGGAATCGGTTCCCTATGAGCAATCTGAAATTTTTGGCTTTGAATTGGTTCGAAATACTTTGTAAAATTATTTTGAAATTGTTTTATGATTAAAACTTAATTTTACACTTAAGTAAGGATTAAAAATGATTTTTGAAATATTTGGAGTAATGTTTTGATATTCGAATAGTTATATCGAATATACTTAGAAAATCATTTGAAAAATCTTAAAATCCATTTAACTTAATTTGTTATATCGAAATATCAAAATGTTTCAACACATATGTCCTTCGAACAACGATATGTGTCCGAAGAGCTTATCTTTCCTGGAAAATCAATTCCCGCAACTGCACTTCCACTTCTTAACCTCTTCCCCAATGCCACAATGCTTCAAATGAGCCTTCAAATCGCTCAATGCCGAGAAACTCTTCTTATGTCACCTATTGCAGCTATAAATTTTCGGGCAGTGGCTTCTCTTGAAATGATTCCTCACACAGATAACCGATTTCAATGGCCTAAACTTGGAAAAAGACGAGAGATGCAAGGCTCGAAATGTTCTCGGTGATTCACGCGTGTGAATCTCAGATCTTGACCTTTTAAAAAGTTGCGTTGCCGCCATGGCTCATGGTAACCTATTTTGTTTTCTTATTTAATTGACAAAACGGCACGCCAGGTTCTTGTATTTTTTTAAGAAATTAACGTGCTCTTTGTATCATATTTTTTAGTCTCTCTCTTCGGTTCAAAAAAATTAAATAGGGTTCTTTGATCAATATTTTTCATTGTTATCCAATATAAATGTAAGTCTTTCGTCATTACGACGTTTTAAGTCAACCATAAGTTTTTGCAAAAGTCATCTCTATTATTTTTTTCCCTTCCTTTTCAACAAATGCTCAGACAATCAAAAACTGATTATTTTCGTCTCTACCAACAGTCACAATCAGTATTTCCTTCGTAACATGCAGACTTGAGAAAGCATTCACATCAACAAGAATTAACGAAACAATTAATCAACAACAACAAAATTACTCAAAGGTTCTCATTGGATTTTTTTAGTTGGACTACATTATGAAAAAGATAATCTTTAGTTTTGCTTTTGACTTTCGCTGCTATATAATTGGTAAAATACACGTTTAGCTCACGGGAGGTATGATTTCATCGTATACAGTGTCTCTCATTTTCAAACCGCAAGTTAACAAAACGAGCAAAAACCATCAAAGCAACTTTGGATTGCTTCTCCTTTCCAGTTACCCCTTTTGTTTTGAGTTCAGTTGTACTAAATTTCTTTTATTTCTTACATGGGAACTAAACAAGTTATTATATACAAAAATGTCACCCACCAGTTAATTTATTGTGATGGAACACTAAATTTCTTAAACAATATTGAGAGCTATGATAATATCGATAAATTATCTTTCAACAGTTCTTTTCATCGAAACAATGATGATTTTATGAAATTGGGTTTGTATGTCACTGATGATCGGCTTCACTCTTTTGCTTTCCCGTAATGGCTTACTCGCAGTCTATCCTATATAGTATCATGTTTATGTGTCAATTTCCACTTGTGCTGCCACTAATAAAAGTATCTTTTATTCAGATAAACAAGTTACATGTTTACTTTTTTATTTTTTTTCAATTATTTTAAAAGTATATCTTTTAATTGTATATATACATATATACAATCACATACATGAATATTCAATTCACAAATCATACAATTTTGCACTGTTTCAAAAGGTCAGAGACTTGCATCGATGCCTTGCTTCTTTGTGTTCACAATTTTAACCACATATGATATGCCTTCTTCATTTGCATGCATCTTAGAATTCATGTTAACCCTCCCATTAAAACTTGGGAAAAACAAACGGAAACTATAATAATTGGGGTCACTCTGAGAAATCCCCTTACCTGCCTACAGGTGTTATTAGGCTTCCTTCTTTTTGACTCCGTATGGATATTTCTGGTATATTGAAATGCTGATGATGACAAGCGGAAGAGCCACGAGACTATACATCGATGGTGGTTTTCCTTCTAACAGGAACTGCAACATTGCTGAAACGACGACAAACCCCTGCTCGAATTTGAGAAAAAAGATTACCAGCAAAGTGTTATTGAGAAAATGGTATTTGGTATTAGAAACTAACCTCAAACAATCTGTGTTCTTAGAATTCAGATACATAGAAGGGGTTAAGTTTCATCTCTGCATCAGTGCCCCTCACTCCTAGCAGGTGTTCTAGGATTTCAAGGCACTTTGCCTACATTACCCTTCATCCCTCTTTGATTTCAATACATGGATTCATTAAATTAAGCGAGGTCAACAACTCGAAACCCATAATCTTTGTATACTAGATGATGCATGCAACTCGATAGCCCCCATATCAACATGCACCTATTTAATCATCAATGTACCCTTCGATACCCCATCCTGAGTTTTCACTGTATTAATTTGATGTAGTTGAGCTTACCTTCGTCACACCACCTGCAAGACTGGTGATAAGGCCAACAAGAATGCCGCCAAGAGCATTGGCTACAACTGGAATCTGAAAAAGCAAGGAAAATACTTTTGTTTAAACTTTAGCGCGCTTGTATCATGCAAGTTAAAACATAAAAGTATCACCGAAATAAGCTTATGTTCATCCATTATAGAGAAATTATGTAGTCTTAGCTAGTAAAGTTCCCTTCCCAGTCTTACACTATTCTTTTCCTGCTTCCATAAACCAAAGAGCATACCCAATTTTATCTAAAGAAATTTTCAAATAAAATAAGATAATTACCAAAGTTGTGGAGTCCAACCAAAAAAGAATCCATGGCGTCTAATAGGTTCTCCATCTGGAGACTTGGAGATACTAGCCTATAAGCACAAGCTTCCGACAATAGACATTTCTATAGTCATCAAGTATGATGAGTGATTCTTGACCTAATAAAGAAAACCTTAAGTGGATGAAAAAAGATGGCCAATCCTATATAATTTGTTAATTTAAAATAGAAAATAAGCTGTTTCTTACCTGAGAAGCCCATTGACATAATGAAAGCCAAACCGGAAAGTACAGAACCAACTAAAACAGGGACAAATCCGTAAAATAGAATTTGCTCGGGATCACCACTGCTAGAAGCTTTGCTAGAACCTTCATCGATGCTTAGAAGTAAAGCAGCCATGATCAATAAAAACAGAGCCCCAAGTTGGTGAATTGACTGCCTCTGCCTGCATGGAAACGCCACAAATTAAGCAAAATAAGCTCACATATATCCTGAAAATCTTTATTAGAATAAAAATAATAGGATGATGCTTTCAGTTGAAAAAATACCACTTTGCAATGAAAAAAAGTCATAAAAACTATCAAATTCAGAAAAATACTAGATGAAGTAATCATTTGCAACTCAAAAGCAGACTAACAAATTGGTAAGCTACAGTGAGTTAAATATATAAACATCAACCTAGTTTCTAGCTTTAAAACAAACCAGTTGATCAATAATAAAGAAGATGAATCATAGATAAAGAGTCTTTTGGGAAAGATACCTCAGTATGATAAATGTAAATAAGGCAGTAAAAATTATTTTTCTCTGGTTCAGCATTGAGAAAGTAAGTGAATCGAGATTCCTGTAAGATATCTGCAACAAGCTGTTTCGAAGTGCATAAATTGCTGCAGGACGACCTGATGCAGTCAGTGAACCCATCAAAGTCCATTCCTTTGACAGTTTCTTTAAGCTACCATCTTTCGCCATGAGAATAATGGCACGTACAACCTAGTATACATATTCAGAAGTAAATGATCTCACAAACCCAGATACTTAAATGCTAAAAGAACCAAAAGCATATATTAGTCGTAAAATTACCTTGGCTACCTCACATGTCAAGACTGATGAATTTACAATTACTTCCCGACTGGAGAAAAAAAAAGAAACAGATTATGAGTTAAAAACTTGAAAGAGAAAAATGTTTAAACGCACAGGAATACATACGAAGAAATGTGTCATTTATGATACATACACATGCTATGCTACTTGGTTTCAAGTATGAAAACCGGACAGAGGTTTGAGCTCAACACGGATATGTTCAATTGCAGTGTATTTGAAGGATTCATAGAGGATGTTATCTCTATACCCATATCCAAATAAGTAACTGACACAGGTACTACAAGAAAAATGCACAGACAAACCAAGATGATGCTTAAAATTCGAGAATGAACAAGCTCTCTAGATGTTTCCAATTATAAGAAAAAGAAAACAAAAACTAGGAAAAATCATGAAAATTCAACTTAAGGAAAAGATCATGATTAACTAAAATATTACAAAACGGTTCCTTTTCATCAATTGTCATCTTTTCATCAAAACGGAGTAAAGCCAAACGCGTGAACTCAATTTACCTGGAATCGGAGTATGATTTTGGCTTTGTCGTCGCCATTACTGGCGACCTTCACGAAGGAGCGAGTTTTCTTGTTCAGAGTCTCCAAGTTGATCCTCGACTTACTAATCTGATGGTTTTCTTGGCGAATGACAGAGATCAGATCAGAGTGTTTTCTTTTTCTTTCCCTTTTGGCGTCGGAAAAGATAGTTGTTACTCTCGCACAGGGACGGAGCCACATTGAGCTTGGGGCGGCAATGCCGCCCTAAAACATTTGGTCTATAACAACTGATGTCCTCTCAATTTAAATATCAGTTAAATTAAGGGCATGCTTTTCTTCACTTCTGAAAAGTATACGGGAAAAAGGTTTATTTTTGGTTGGATTTCAACAGTTTATAGTTCACAAGTTTAAAATAATTACCACACAATTATATCTAGTGTAAATTATACATTTAATATCTAAATTATCAGTCTTGATTTGTTTTAATACTTATATAACATTTAATTTTTATTTCATTTTAGTATATCGTCGTTAAAAACTTAACAAAATTATATTTTTATGGGTAAATTACATCATTCATCACTCAACTATCTTTTCACTCTTATTTTTGTTCTAAAGTTAAATTTTTTTTTAATTTAACTACTCAACTTTCAAATTGTTCTTATTCTAATCACTCTAATTTATTTTATTAATATTTTTTGATGTGACATTTTATTATTATTTTATTAATATATAATTAAAAATAAAAAATAATTTTGAAAGTTAGAGTGATTAAATTATAAGTAATTAAATTAAAAAATTAAACTCTATTGACCAAAATAGGAGTGAGAAGATAGTTGAGTGATGAATGATATAATTTACACATAAAAATGTGCCACTTGCAAATTACCCATTAAATTTTTAACAGCGAGGTACTAAAACAAAACAAAAATTAAACGTTAAGTAAAAATTTTTATAAAAAAATTGAAAAGTTAGGTACTAAAACGTTTAAGTTCATACCAATTTATTTTCCTTCAGGGTTAAGCTTGTGTGGGTGCTTAATGAGTTGAGCAACTCGAACTTGACTCGATCAAAATTCTGTAAAAGTTCGATTTGGATTGACTCGACTCGATATCTTAACTAGATGAGTCAATCAAAGTCCAACTCGACTCGAAAAATTCGTGAGCAGCTTGTTAAATTTTTTTATAATTTTTTGTAGTTATTTTAAAAAACTATTTCATTAAAAAAATATTAATTTACTAATAGATAATAAAAACATGATAAATTAACTAATCAATTAATTTATAGTATTGATAGATTTTACCTATAATTAAAAATAATATAAAAATTTCACTGAGTTTAACGAGTAACGAGTTTAAAAAGCACGAGTCGAGCAACAATTTTTTTTAACGAATCAATTATGGGACTTTTCCATAATACTGTACTTTTTTAAGGGTTCCAGTCCTCACTGTAATTTGGTTATTTTGTGGAATGAAATGATTCGTTATTGCTAAAAAAGGAAAAAATCGTTCATCCAAAATTAGAAAAAAAAAGGAAATTTAATTGCGTTCAATGTACTATAAAGAGAAGGCTTAACTGCAAACACACACACAAACAGAGTTTCAACTTTCAATGGCAACCCTTAAAGTTCCATCTCATGTTCCTTCTCCTTCTGAGGATGCCGAGCAACTTCAAAAAGCCTTTTCAGGTCAGTTTCATCATTTTCTATACGTTCTAATTTGAATCATTCATCAATTCTTTAGTTTTTGTTCATTTTTTTTTTGTTTGCGTTGATGTTTCAAAAGATTTTATTGGATCATGGATTTTTATGTATTTTGATTGATCTTCTTTGCTCTTGGGTGTTTTCGTATTTTTTGTCATCGTGTTTGCAATGATCTTTGAAAAGCATTCGTTCAACGGTTCCTGCGATTTGAGTTATCATGGATTCCGGATCTGATCATTGCTGTTTTGTCCGTCAGCGTTGCGGTTGAATCACCATCTGATCTGCATTTTAGACTGTGGATCATTTGGTGTAATATGATTATATATTTCATAATATCTGGGTAGTGGCAGATAGATTGCTCGTATTCATGTTCGACTCCAGACATCTTAATTTGAATAATCTTCGAAGATCATATAATTGTAATATTTCATAAAAGATGAAGATTCAAAATATTCTTATTGCAATACCATTTATCTACTCTCAATCCGTATTTGAAAAATGGCATTAGATTTTATCTGCCATTTGTAACTGTTCTTCATGTTCTTTTACAGGCTGGGGTACGAACGAGCAATTGATCATCGACATATTGGCTCACAGAAATGCAGCACAGCGCAATTCGATTAGGAAAGCTTACCATGAAGCTTATGGGGAAGATCTCCTCAAGTGCTTGGAGAAGGAACTTACTCGTGACTTCGAGGTCAGATTTCGACATACGTTTCGATGTTCGGCAGTGGCATGAAGTTTATTTTTGTTGTAATTCATAATATGGTTTCCTTAACTTATCGGGATTTTTGCTTTGTTTCGCCATTTGACAGCGGATCGTGCTGTTGTTTACCATGGACCCTGCAGAGCGAGATGCATATCTGGCTAAAGAAGCTACAAAGAACTCATCGATCCATTTGGTTCTCATGGAAATAGCTTGCGCCAGGTCTTCATATGCACTACTCGACGTGAAAAAGGCGTATCATGCCCGTTATAAGAAATCCCTCGAAGAAGACGTTGCGCACCACACATCTGGAGACTACCGCAAGGTTCCGACTCGAATTTCATCTCCCCTGATCTTATCATCATCGTGTCGAATGCTTTGCATAAGATTTATCAGGTGTTTGCTCACATTACTTGCTCAATGCAGCTTTTGGTCCCGCTTGTTAGCACATTCCGATATGAGGGAGAGGAGTCGGACATGTCTCTTGCGAAATCCGAGGCTAAGATACTTCATGAAAAAATCTCGGACAAGCAATACGGTGATGAGGAATTGATCAGGATTCTTACTACAAGGAGTAAGGCACAGCTAAATGCAACTCTCAGTCATTACAATAATTCATTCGGCAGTCCAATCAACAAGGTAGTCATATATAACCATGATCGTAAAGGAGACAGGGCGGTCTGATTTATCGAATTTCCGAGTATGTTCTGATTCAAACTGATAATGGTTTGCAGGATCTGAAGGCTGACCCCAGTGATCAATTCCTCAAATTACTGAGATCTGCTATCAAGTGCTTGACAACTTCCGAGAAATATTTCGAGAAGGTTTTACGTCAAGCACTCGGTAAGTCGGGAACAGATGAATGGGCTCTTACCCGAGTTGTGGCAACTCGGGCAGAGGTAGACATGGTACGCATCAAGGAAGCATATCAGCGCAGAAACAGTGTTCCTCTCGATAAAGCAATTGCTGGAGATACTTCTGGGGACTATGAGAAAATGCTTCTTGCCCTGATCGGAGCCGGAGATGTCTGAACTGTTCCCGGTTCCCGGTTCCTTCGTATGACTATGAGTAGCCTACTTTTCTGCTTTGACAATGTTTTCTTGGCAATGGTTTGAAGCGCCATTTGGTAAATAATTTTCACACGACTGTAACTCGATTGATCGGCTATATTTTGGAGATTAAAAATTGAGTTAATTGCACCCGACGCTCTAATCTAAAATTAATTTGTGGTATGTTTTAACTTGAAACATTATACTATCAAACTTAAAATGGTTGTCCTTTTTACCATATGTATGGGGTAAGGGGAAGTAAGATAGTAGGCTACCCCCAACACCAAATTGAGAGCAGCTTCCATAGGAGACCTCCGAATTATGAAATGCCCTCTGTGGGGCTCGATCCTACGACCTCAAGATTAAGAACCTTGTGCTCTACCAACTGAGCTGGATGGTCATTTCTATACTATCAAACTTAAAAAGTTATATAATTTATTATAATTTTGATTACATTTGAAAATGCTATATTACGATGGATTTTAACCTAAAATGTTACTTGCTTATACTAAAAATTTATACAATTGATAATAATTTTGATTAAATAAAGAATGTTATATTACAATGGGTTTTAATCTAAAATATTAGGTGTTTACTCGAAAAAGTTACACAATTGATAATAATTTCAATTACAACCGATAATTTCTTTATAGCAACTTTTTAGGTTGCAACTAGAATAATTATGCAATTTACCTGAATTGTTATGAAAAAAAATATAATATTTCCAATTTCAACCTAGAATGTTACTCAATTTATTTTAAAATATTACCCTTTGATAATAAAAAAATTAGATTACAATTATGCAACTAGTTTCTGAACTTTAAACATTAGCAAGCTCTTCAGCATTCTTAGAGGATAACAAAACATTTGTGAATATGAATGGTCGACACAAGGGATGGACCAACGGGGACGGCATATGAGAGGAATCACATCTTTAAAAATTTAAAATTATCATATATTTTAATTTTTTTAATATATATTTTATTAAAACTTTATTTTTTATCACATAAAATTTTATAAATTCAAATTTATTTATTTTAATATAAAATCATGAGTTCGTCCCCGATCGATGATGCCACATAAAGTCCCTAATCGACAGCACATGAAGGCAGTGCATTTGGCGTAAGCTTTACCCTTTGTCCCTTGGAAAATGGGGTTCAAAATTCTGTTGCTTTAGTACCTCTCAGCCAGGCATGTGCATGGACGTGCGATTGGTCCTATTGAATGCCAATATTATAAATATTAACAATTTATTCAGTACACATCAACAGGTCAACATCGCATCATTCACATGTAAATATTAACATATCATATCATCATTTCGGATAAATTTCGCAACACAGTTTAAGATTTTAAAAGTACAACACCTAATTACCAAGGGCTTTTATTATTCAACAAACAGTTGGTCCGGAGATCAGAGCAAACACCAAGGAACACAATGGAAGTAGTTGAAATAACTGGATTAGCCGACCCCAACTGCCCAGGGTTCGAATCTAAATGCTACACTCTAACAACGTATTTCATAAGCCACAAACAACATCGGCCACTCGAATGACCAAACTCATTGTCCTACAGCATCGAGGGCACTTCATAGTTAAAACATAGCAAAGCACAAAGTGGGTTGTAAAATAAAAGACACAACTTGTACACAGGCACCTAATGAGCTAATTATCAAGTTAAACCAAGGAAATGCTGCTCTCACCACCGGGGACCTTTCGTGAGCCGCCCAAAAAACTCCGAGATTCTGCCTTCCCATCAGAAAAGATGTCATTGCCACTCATTTCTCGCAGTTTAGCTTGGCTCAGCGGTTTTTCTGCAGAACCTGGAGGAACGTCTCCCTTGAAGATACCGGTACCAGTCAGCTTTTGAAACTTTTGGTTATGTATCTTTTTCATTGCCTTCACAACTGGTTCATCTGTGAATAGGATACTTGTCTGCCCTCCAGCAGGCTATAACAATTGCGAAATATAAGTTATATAATTGATGAAACTTCAAATTCAGGGTACTTGGGGATGAGAGTTGGATGCAAGTATGTGTTTAACATAGGTTTGCTCAACTTTTTTTTTGTAACAATTTTCATGTATATTGGACACATGTATACTTCAAGAACAATGAAGAGTAACTTTTATACCTAAATTTTGACAGGCACCTAAAAGATAGAACTCACATTTGAAACTTTGACAGATGTGCAGATACTTCATGGCACGAGCTCAACCATGTCTTTGTTTTCTCTTGATTCAGCGGCGGCGGCGGCCAACGAACGTGGCTTGATTTCAGGAGGAGAGGAAAAGATGTCATGTGCACTGATCTCCTTATACTTTGCATTCGATATCTTTTTATTCTTTGCATCCGATTCGCTTTGCAACGAGCCACTTAACTCACGCTGCTTCGCTACCTCGAGTAGAGAGGTAGGCTTCTTGGGAGAAACACTTGCATCGGCAGTGAATGATAATTGGCTATTCGTTGCTCGCTGAAAATAACACCAGAGTTTAGAGCTGTAAGTTTTCGTAGACAACCGTTTAACAATCACGGTCATTCCCCGAGGGAGATCAAACAATACCTGATGCATGCGCACTCCAGTTTAGTTAGTGGAATTAGTGGCAGTAGTTTCAGATGCACCATTGGCAGCTAAAATTCCACTACCAGTCATCTCTTTCATTTTGTAACCCGAGCAAGGCTTCCTGAAAGAGCAATAGGGAACATTTCCAGACGGATTCAGATGAACGATAGCGACACATCTAAACTGGCCCTTGATGAAAGTAATATACTACTCTTACATTACAACTCCATGCCAGAATGAAGCAAAATCATGAAATTCTTAGAACAAAGTCCAATTTAAGGGATTATAAGCATAAATAATCTATAGTTAATCTACAATCCAATGAGCAATATTAATTGGAAAAAAAAGGTAGGATATTGAGCTAGATTCAGACTGAAACCACTCAAAGTAAATATTCCAAATGCATAAATTTAATACAAATTAGGTGATTTAAACAGCTAAAAAAATGATATCGTGATACAAATCAAAACAAACCCAAAAGAAGATTTAACAATAGACAGATCTGGTTAAATCCAAAAGAGAAAGGACGAAATATAAGATTTTATATTTTATTTGAAGATCAAGATCAGATTTCAAACTTTCAAATCAAAAAGAGATCGTTGGTTTGAATATTGTTTAAATATATAGTTGGGAGAAGGTGTTATTTTAGTATATATTTAACTAAGGGTGCTATTTTGGTATATTATAATTTATTGGATTATATTTAGATACAAAATCCTTTTTTTATAATAATTCAATGGTAGATTAATCCAAAGAAGGCAGCAAAGCTCCTACAACAAAACAAAGACAAACATATCCAAATCATATCCCTCATCTATTACATGGAACAAAGTTCACCCCATCAAGTCTATCAATGCAACAAACCTGCAAACGAATCCTCACAACCACCCTAATACAATCAACAACTTCCTCAATAGACCTAAAGACTCCTCGGAACTGCCTATGGTTACATTCTTCCCATACAAAATACAAAAACCCCACCCAGGCCAATTTGAGGATACAAACTATAACCGACTTACCTTTTAGATTCTCAACAACCCATCGCATGGAAATGCTCCAATCAGAAAGTCTCCACTGCAGTCCACATAACTGCAAGACCCTACTCCAAAATTCACAAGAGAAATGGCATTCCATGAAAAGGTGACCCCTTGTCTCAATATGAACCCCACACAAATTACAAATGCCATCTGTAGCCACCCCATTCTCGCAAGCCTCTCCTTGGTAGAAACCCTATTCAATATAATCATCCAAGCCACAATCGAGTGCCTAGGAATGTGAAGAAGGAACCAGATGACCCTATGCCACTGCATCATAGGTCTCCTGCTCCTGATCCACCGATTATTAACCATTGCCCAGCTCACACCAACTCCAAACAAGACCCTAGCATCATCCCTCATCTTCGACAATCTCCTCAATGCCCAAAATCCTTTTTCGTAGTTTTTTTATACTAGGGTAAACTACCGAAATGACCCCTTTTGTTTCATAAGTGTTCAGTTTTACTAATCACATTCAAAAATTTTAAAGTTTTGGTCATTGATATTATTGATTTATAATGTTTTGATCATTGGAACGTTTAAAAGTTAGTTTGATGATCTTATATGTAAATAAAAATGAATTATCTTTTAAGTTTACTCTTAAGTTTTAGATAAAATATCAATTTAACTTCTAAAAAAAGACAAAAAAAAAATGGCTGTCCATTTTTTTCCATATGTATGGAGTAAGGGGAGGTAAGATAGTAGGCTACCCCAACACCAGGTTGAGAGCAGCTTCCGTAAGAGACCTCCGAATTATGAAATGCCCTCCGTAGGACTCGATCCCACGACCTCAAGGTTAAGAACATTGTTCTCTACCAACTGAGCTGGATGGTCATTTCTAAAAAAAAGACAAAAATACTTGCAATTGGTTACCACTCATAACTCTCTCTTTCACCACTCGCCACTCTGGCCCATGATTGATCGACCCTGGATTTCATCTTATATGAAAATGTAAACACGGACAAATACGTAGGAGGCATTCTTCTCAAGGTTGCAGCTCAAGTTCCAGATAGTGGCATGAAGGATACCGATAAATGGAGGAAATTGGTTGGTAGGATTTCTTATTTCTGCAGTAATTGATTTGGATTAATTGATCAATATATTATATAATTCAGATTAAACAATTAAAAATAATATATCATATACCGATAATCATATATAGAAAACTTCAAATTAAAAATAATTAGTGAAAAAATGGGATGGAATATGACATTTACAAAACAATTGGGCCTTAAACAAGTGAATTTGGTTTGAACCGGCCGACCCTCCATTATTCAATTTTTTCTCGGCAGTCTTATCTTTAGTTAGTTTGTGCTCTAAACCCTATGCTCAGATTCAACATCTTTGTTAGAGGAACCTTCAGCAGCAGAGCCTCGAAGAAACAAAACTGTAAGTATAAACAAAAATGGTGTCAGACAAGAAAACGGTGAATACCCATCGTTCTTTGCTCTTTCATTTGCTGATATGTTATCACAACTTGAAGAAAAGGAAATTGAAATCATTTTTTTTTTTGGATTTAACAGAAGAAGACCCATGAAAGCATCAACAACAGGCTTGCTCTCGTCATGGAGAGTGGGAAATACACTCTTGGCTATAAGACAGTGCTCAAGTCCCTCCGGACTTCCAAAGGTTGTTTACCTTTTTCAAATCTGAGCTCAATTTCGTTTTCATGCTTTTAGTTTTTTATCATTTGGGTTGCTATTAGATTTTTAAGATGTTTTTTTAGTGAAGAATATTTGGGATTTGTTGATATTTGATAGGGAAGCTGATTATCATCTCGAACAATTGTCCGCTGAGGAAATCTGAGATCGAATGCTACACGATGCTTTGTAAAGTTGGGATTCACCAGTACAATGGAAGTGAGTCTCTTTCCCCCTTCTTAATGTTGCTTTGCGAAGACCTTTCATTATTATTATTTTAAGTGTTTGTGACATGCATAAGCATAATTATGGTTGGATAGAGGCTGATTTTGATTGTAGTGTCCTTTATTCTAAATTGTCCTCTTTATCGAATTTGTGCGATTGTTTCTGAAGACACTTAATTTCGTTTATGTTTTAAATAATATTACATATTGTAACATTGTTAAGTTTGTCTACAGGCCCAATGTTCGGCCCAGTTTACGCAGTAACCCTAGTTCATGGTTCCCAACTGAGCGCCGCATACCCAAGAACTCCCCATGCTCCACGCCTCGCCAGCCGCTCAACACACCCGGTTCTCTCGGTCACAAGCAACGGTCGTGGGTTCCAAGCAACTAACAAGCATTCAAACAATGAGTTTCAGTTTGTTTAGGACTCTATGACTAAAAATAGGATGTAAATAAACTATAAATGGATGTAATCAGAACCCATCAGGGGACACTTTTTTTTTTCACCAGAGGTTAGACAGAGAATACAAAAACAAAAATTACACAAAAACTACGAGCAATATTGGGTTGATATCGAAACATTTTTTTCAAGATTCTCGAAAGCAGCAGAAGGTAAGGTCCATACCGTGTACGTTTTGAGGCTTGCATGCTTGTTGTTTCGTTGTTCTTGATTCAAAAAATACCAAAGAAAACTGTTTTGGCCGATGAACTTTTAGGGGAAGGATCGAGATTTTGATCTCAGATCTACCCTCCCCCGAGGCCTATTTCAAAAAAAAGGTTTGAGATTTGAGTCGAGGGAGAGAAAGGCTTTCAGAAAAACCAATTTTTTTTTTTTGGGTTTGCCGCCGATGATCGGTGGCCGGCGCCGACCAACGGCGGCCGGCGAGGCGGCGTGTGGCCATTTCTGGGATTTTACGGCGGCGTGTTCTTCATTTCTGAAGAACACGCATGAACAGATGAAGGAAACGAGAGAAAGAGAGGAGAGCTCTCGGGCGAAGAGGAGAGAAATGAAATTTCAAAAAATATTTGAGTCATATAGTTAGCCCAGCGGACCAAACTGGCCCGACCCGTGCTTATATCAGATCCGCGTGTTTTGCTAAAAGGGGTAAACTGTATTTTGGCTCCCTCTGTTTTGAAAAACATTCAATTTGGTCCCCAAATCGGTTGGGTAAACTTCATTTTGGCTCCCTCTGTTTTGAAAAACATTTAATTTGGTCCCCAAATCGGTTTAATTCCCCTGGTTATATTCTAATTCTGCCATCTAACCTTATTTTGTTTCATTTTACCCCTTTATACTTATATATATTTTATTATATCTCGTATTTGCTCTTTTATACATAGATATTTGAATTTTTATTTATTTACACTATATTATATTATATTCCTATTAGTTTATATATATACATTACATATTTTTCTTTTATTACATGCTATTTATTATATATATATATATTACTCATATTTGCTTTTTTTTATATATTATTTTCTTTGTTTTTATATTTTTTGTTCATGTATATTTTCATTTACCTATCTATTTATATTTTTATATTTTTTCTTTATTTGAATTTTCGTATTTTTCCTTGTAAATTTTATTCATATTTCATTCTTAATTCTTGTATACATTATACTTTCTTTATTTCGTTTGTTCGCCTTATTTTTTCTAATTTTATTATTTTTTATTATCTAACCATTTTTTCAATTTTTTAAGGATGTTTTCAAAACAATCAGAAGTAAGTAATTCAGGATCAAATTTTACCTTTTTAATTTAACATTACAATTTTATTAAATCATGACAACTGGAAATTACGTAGTACCGAAAGGGCGGTTCAAGGGTGCTAATCCTTCCTTGACCGTAACCGACTCCCGAACTCGACACATCTTTGGTAAGACGCAGATCAGGTAAGAAATAAGGTACACGGTCAACCCATTTATTTTTAAATAAATGATCGGTGGCGACTCCCAATCCACTTTCCTAAGTCAAAGCCCAATTCCGGGGCACAACCGAAAGACGGTTACGACAGCTTGGCGACTCTGCTGGGGACAGGTAAGTGAGTCAGGCTAAGGTAATTTCCAGTTGTCCTTTTAACGAAAATGGTAAGTTTAAATTTTAAGGTAATATTTCGATCCTTTTTACTTACTTTTGATTATATTTTCGAGTAAATAGTTGGACTAATCGTTTTCTCATGATTTCAGACTTCAAAGTTTTTTCATCTAAGGCTCTATACCCGAGCTCCAATCCCTATTTTAAGTGGGTGTGAAAGCGACGCCTTCGTGTGAATTTATTCACCGTGCGGGCCTAGCAAGTAGCCTTCGGGATTCATATACCTTATGTCTTCGTGTGAATTTATTCACCGTGCGGGCATAAGGGAATGTGTCCCCTCGAGTTTAACTTAGTCCACACAAGCCTGTGATGGGTTTAGGACTAAGGGTCTGGCAAGCCCAAGGGGGCACCGACAAGGAGAACTTGGGTACCGTTTTTTAAAACCTAAACCAGGAGATCATGAAGAATTAGATCCTACCCCGAAACCACGTTCCAAAACTTAGGATATTTTTACCCTAACCATTTTTTTTTTTGCGCTTTTTCCTTCCGTCATTTTTTATTTGTATTTTTATTTTACTAACGTTTTTTGCCTTTGTGTTTGTTTTCTAGCGTTTGCATCATTACAAGAGGCTATTGATCCCTAAAAAACGTTTGTTATACACAAAATAATTCGAATTAATGGACAAAGGTGTTGTAATACAAGAGATTGAAAACGCTGAGGCACGACTATGGTCCGAGAAGGCTCAGAAAGAGAAGGGGGACAGTCTTCAGGGAAACTATGTGTCAGAACTGGTTAGTTATACCGCTGTCAGCCTGAAACAAAATAATGTCCAAGAGCTGCGAAACATTTGGGACAGTTGGAAAAATGACAGAAAGCAGAAGTTCAGCCAACGATATGGTGATATCGCCCTCTTGCTCCATGTCAAGACTGATGAGCCCTTACTCCGAGCATTAATTCAATTCTGGAACCCTGGATATAGTTGTTTCACCTTTAACCAGGAAGACATGGTGCCTACTATCGAAGAATATACTACTCTACTGCACTGCGAAAGCATCAAACTAGAGAGGGCATATATTAAACATATCAAGAGCCAGCCCTTCAAGAACGGACTGGCCAAGATTGCAGGGGTTGATGAAAAATGGGTGACTGATCGACTCCGGCACAAAGGTAGCGGGGAAGGAATCGAGTGGATCCATATAAAGCAACTAATGAAAAACCACCCTGATGAGTGGAAGACTATAGACCTGTTTGCACTGGGTCTGTACGGTTTGATCATATTTCCGAAGGCTTTGGGGTGCATTGACGCTGCCGTGGTGGAACTATTTGAGCAACTTTCTAAACGAGTTAACCCAGCACCAGCCATCTTGGCTGAGACCTTTCGATCGCTCAACCATTGCCGAAGAACTGGCGGAGGAAGATTCACCGGGTGCATTCAGCTCCTTCAGGTCTGGATTCACAGCCACTTCTGGAAGACTGACGGAGTTGCCTACCGCCGTTTCAGCACCACCTATTCACCCCTAGGTGAATTTATTACCTTAAAATGGCATGAAGGCGCTTCAAAAGAAAAATGGATGAAGGTCTTTACGTATCTTCAAGACCGAGATATTGTCTGGAGAGCCCCTTGGTTATTCCTCAGTGATGTTCTTTTTCGATGTGGTGACTCCGACACTGTGACCTTACTTGGACTCTGGGGAGCAGTCGGGTATGCTCCGCTATTAGCACTTAGACAATATGGAGCACGTCAGTTTGTCCCAGCAACATGCGGGTTGGCTAGGTCAGAGTTTGAGTATCACGGCGACAGCTATAAGAAGATGATCAAAGAAGCAGCCGATTCGTGGAGAAAAGTATTCCGGATGGATGTTGTAGCTGCCAGAAGCATGCTCACTCCGGATTATGTGGAGTGGCGAAGGTCAAGGAAGAATGACAACATCCCTGTGCCAGACCGTGATGACACCCGGACCATGGAAGAACACCTCATGCATGTCCCTTCTGAACTCGAGATAGCCAAGACCGAGTTTGAAGCCGTGAATAATGAGCTGAAGCAAAGAATAAAGGAACTTGAAGCTGAACGATATCAGTGGAAGCTCGATGCTGACTCTCAGAAAGATCGGGCAGAGAAACTGGAAAAAGAACAAAAAAGAGTCCGTTTTGAGCTCGAAGACTTGAGAAAAGGGTATCAGGATAAGGTCAAGGATAATTCCAAGTTGAAGGTAACCTCTGAATACTGGAAAGACGAAGCTCATAGCCTGAAAAGGAAGTTTGATGGGCCTGATGAGAAAGCTTGGAAGGAACAGATGAAGAATGCCCAAAGACGCTTGGCAGATAGTCAATATCAGAACCAACGCTTGAGAGTTCGGGTAGCTGACTTAGAAAAACAACATGAAAAAGATGGCAAGACAATAGCTGAGTTAGAAGCTATTATAGATGGGTTCAAGAGGCAAGCTAACGAGCTTCAGATAGTGCCTTTCGACGGAGGTTTACAATGGCGTTTCCGTTGGGAACAAGCACAGCGGAGGGTGAGGGCCCGAGACGTAACCATCCGAGATTTCCTAGATCAAGTGCAAAAAGCAGCCCGTCATCTTCACGGCCTAGCAAGGGAAGCGGGTGTGGTTCGACAAGGCATTCAACCAGTGACAGATGAAGGCAGAAGACTTGTCAACCTACTGGAAGCTGTTCGGGGTCTAGAGGATTTAGTCCGAATGTACCTTTAATCTGTCTTTATGTCTCTAAAAAGATAAAACATTTTTGTCTGAATAAGGATTATTTATAATAATGAACACTTTTCTGGATCAATGCCTCCAATTGCATACATCATACATTGCATTTCTTGCATTTTATATTTCATGTTTGTTTATTTTATATTTTCCATGTTTTTACATTCATATTAACTAACAGAACATGTCTCAGACACCGAGCTTACCACCGCAAGCATCAGATACACATCACCCGCACAATACTCGAGCAAAAAAGAGACAAATGGAAGCCAGAATGGAGAAGATCGAAGAACACATGGCAAGACTTCAAAAGGAGCTAGAAGATAAGATGGCTCAGAACAGTGAAAGTACTCTTGAGTCCATCAAGAAAAATCAGGAGTCCTTGGTCGACCAAATCGTAGCCAAGTTGTCAGGTCTACAGCAAGCTAGTGCATCGGGGGGCATCTCTTCCGAGGGGTGGCCATACCACCAACCCCGCAAGTGGTTCTCTCACCCGGAATATTACCCGGGGACGCATCTGCTACTAAAGGGAAAGCAGCACTACCCGGGGACTCATTCGCTACCAAAGCGAAAGTTGCACCTGCTGTGAAGATACAAACTTCTACAATCATCCCTGATGATCATCCGGATGATTATAATGTCCCAGACTTTGACGAGGAAGATAAAGCCAAAAAGATGGAAGAAAAGATAAAAATATTAGAAGATCAAATAAAGATGGTCCAGGGAGACCATGATTATTATGGAGTGG